TTTCTGGGGTTTTGTTTAGCTTCTATATTTGCAACATAGTTGCTTAGAGTTGCAGCTGAGAGGCCGGCAAGTCAGGCGGGGAACGTTGGAGTCCGCCGTCACTGGAGCAAGCAAGCCTCCCTGTTCACTTCAGTGTATGGCTGCCGGCCGCCATCTTGGCTGGCAGTTAATTTGCATATCTCACTGATTAGCCAATGGGAAGGGTAGCGGCTGTACGGCTAATTACCATGTTTCTCTTTTATTAGATAGGATATTATAACCAGTTATTACCACTACTGCCTGTCTCTGGACAGAACCTAATTGACAACTGTGCTTTTATGAAAGATATATTTTCTTTTGTGGAAAGGAATCCGGGTGTTGCATAGTGTTTTGATGACGAGTGCTTAACTGTTGTAATGAGGCAGTGATTGGAATTAGAGAAGAAATTAAATAATTGTTTTCTTTATTTTGAAGAGGACCTTGAAACTTTATTTCTTTGATAAGAAATAAATGTGTGAATCAGAATAGACAGACAGAATAACTAGACTAACATGTCTCATTCCTTATTTTTAGTCAGAATCTGGAGATGTGAATAGAAACACAGAACTGAAGAAACTTCGAATTTTTGGAGCTGGGCCTAAGGTCGTGGGCCTGGCAATGGGAGCAAAAGATAAAGAAGGTAAAAATCTATTGTTTGGTCATGAAAAGAAATAAGGTATAACAGTGTGGTTATAACAAGATTCAAATGATATTTGAATTGCAGTCTGCCTTGGGATTTTCCTAAGACTTGTAAACTTACAACTTGGTTCCTAGAGAAATCTTTTTTTGTGTCAGATAATCTTAAATTTAAGGTGTGAGGAGCCATATTAGGTTGAATTTTTATAATATTTTGGGGGAGAAATTTTCCTCCTCCATGTTTTAATATTTGGCACAGAGATTTATTGTAGTTTCTAAAGGCTAGTTTATGAGAGAATGGTGAAATTAATGGTTCTCACCTGGTGATCTAAGTCTTATAACTTTTAAATTCTAAGAGAAATAGAGGATTCTCTGGCCTTTAGTATCAAAAGATAGTGGGGAGAACTTATGACTTATATTCTAACTATAATTTTGATATTTTTCTGTAAGCCGTGATATATTATTACACTTAATTTAAATAAACTCTTTGAGGAAAGCCTGTTAATCTCAGCTTAGCATGTTTGAAACTTTTAATTAGTAAAATTACTAATACAAAGATCAAGTTCCATCTTTACCTGTAGGTATATGTCAGTTTTAAAACTCAATTTAACAAAGATTGCATTGGAGCTCTTTTTAATGTGTAAGAATTTAATGAAATACTATACTCACAAATCATATTAACTTTACATTTTATGATATTATTAATTAACTCATAATTCAGATTGTGGACTGAACTCTGGAGGATTACTCTCAAAAAGTTCAGTGTGATAGGACAATACATGATAATGTTTTAAGAATTAAGCATTTTGATTATCTTCTCCATTCTTTTAATTATTGTATTACCTGGCAGTGATCATAAAACTAGTCTCAAATTAGTACATATGAAGTATATGATAAATACTTCATATAGTCAGTATAGAATTAGTACTTAAGATCTCTGGAGTGTGATTGCCTGGATTGGAATCCCAATCTGCCATTGATGGGCTGTGTGATTTTGGGCAAGTTATGTAACTTCTTTGTACTTCAGATTCTTTATCTTCAATCGGGGATAATAGTTTTTTACCTCATAGTGTTGTGAGATTTTAACTAATTTAAATAATTTTAAATAGTGTCTGGTCCAGAGTAAGCTCTCAACATTAGTTTTTGCTATTATTATATAACTATTTTTATTTTAAGATGAGGTCTCCCGAAGACGAAAAGTTACCAACAGGTCAGACGCATTTAACATGCAAATGAGACAACGGAAAGGAACTCTCTCTGTTAACTTTGTAAGTGTTCTGAGATGTGTCAGGAGGGAAAGGATTTACTTTTATTTAGTTTTGCACTTTTTACTTTGCTCTAGTATCTTAGCATGCCATTTAGTTAATTAATTTGGTTAGAAGACTTAATGGTGAACCTGAAGTTGCATCTTTGGTTATGTAATGCTAATCTTACTTTGTTCCATATACATAGACTATTTCCCTAAGTCGTAGACTTGTGAGTAACTAAGTAAGAGAATGAATATGAATCTGTAAGTCCTTGAGCTGTATTATAGACAGGGCTCAGTATTCATTCTCTAACAGTATTTGTTTATAGGAAGGATGACATGGTATATTTTATTTCTATAAATTGACTTTCAAGTACCCTAGATATGTAGTCTTTTTTTTCTTTATTCTAATAACTTAATATGCTCTTATTAACTTTCCCATAGAAGCTCTGAGGAAATTTAGGACATTTTATGAAAAGCTATTTAAGAACAATTATTTAAATATTCAGGATTTAAGTTGTATTTACTTTTTATTAGTATACATTATTTTGTTTCAATTAAGGAGTTCCTGGTAAAAATTTAATGTTACTTATTATGGAAAATAGACTTTTATTTTACTTCGTTTTTTAACAGGTTGATCTCTATGTTTGTATGTTTTGTGGTCGGGGAAATAATGAAGATAAATTGCTTTTGTGTGATGGATGTGATGACAGCTATCATACATTTTGTTTAATTCCCCCACTACCTGATGTGCCCAAAGGAGATTGGAGGTGTCCTAAATGCGTTGCTGAGGTACAATTTACAGATTCTTTTTAAACTAACAACAATAACACATGCACACACACATATAGTAAACACATTCCCAAAAGCTTCTTCCATTCTGTTTTTGTTCTTTACTGTTTAAAATCACCAGAATTTTTAAAGAGAGATATTGAATGGAACTGTAAAAATTGTATTGTGACAGCTTGCTTTTCAAAGTTTTTTTTCTGACTATGGTTCAACAGTTCTGTTTAGTGCTGCAGATGAATGAAACTTTTGCTCAGAATTTTCATATTCCTAGAAAACTATAAAAATAAAGGCTGTAGGTTATTTTGTTTTCTTTTTTATTTTATTTTGTGTGTTTTTTTAATTTTAATCTTTATTGTTGAAAGTATTACATAGGTCCCCTTTTTCCCTCATTGACCCCTTCTAGTCTGCCCCCATCCCTCGCCCAAGGCCTTCACCACCCTATTATCTGTGTCCATGGGTTATACATATATGCATACAAGTTCTTTGGTTGACCTCTTCCCACCCACTCACCCACCCACTCTGAGATTCCACAGTCTATTCCAGTGATGGCGAACCTATGACACGCGTGTCAGAGGTGACACGCGAACTCATTTTTTTGGTTGATTTTTCTTTGTTAAATGGCATTTAAATATATAAAATAAATATCAAAAATATAAGTCTTTGTTTTACTATGGTTGCAAATATCAAAAAATTTCTATATGTGACACGGCACCAGAGTTAAGTTAGGGTTTTTCAAAATGCTGACACGCCGAGCTCAAAAGGTTCGCCATCACTGGTCTATTCTATGCTTCTATGTCTCTGGATCTATTTTGTTCAGTTTATTTTGTTCATTAGATTCCACATATGAATGAGATTATGTGATACTTGTCTTTCTCTGACTGGCTTATTTTGCTTAGCATAATACTCTATTTTTCTTTTTATTTATTTTTTTAAATATATATTTTTTCATTGATTTCAGAGAGGAAGGGAGAGGGAGAGAGAGATAGAAACATCACTGATGAGACAAAATCATTGATTGGCTGCCTCTTGCACGCCCCCTACTGGGGATCGAGCCCACAACCCGGGCATGTGCCCTTGACTGGAATCAAACCTAGGACTCTTCAGTCTACAGGCCAATGCTCTGTCCAGTGAGCCAAACCAGCTAAGGATATTTTTCTTTTTTTTAATTAAAAAACAACAACACACCAGACATGAAACTCTAAAACTTAGATATTATGCATTCAGTTTTCATGCTACCAAATAAACTGTTAGCTTGTTTAAATTTTGATTTGATTGTATAAATTATTCATATTGGAAGATTATATTGATGTCATTGTCATGAAATGCTTAGTCTGTTTACTTATTTTAACAAAATATGATAGCATATTGAAGGAAAGGAATTGGCTGGGTGTATCTAGATGTATTCAGAGGTCTTTTATGGCCTTTGAATTATTACTTATTCATCTCAAATAGGTTAGATGGTTCAGAAGCAGTTCTACGCTGAGTATTTGTGTGAAGATATTTGTAATGGTGATTGATAGCTGAAAAAAACATTCTAGCTAGATATTCTAGCAATCCAGTGGATACACCTTTATCCATCATCTCTCCTTCCTCCATGAACATTTATATTCTCTACAGCTAGATGCAATAATATACTGAGAATGATAGGCATCCCTAGGCTTGATGCAAATGAGTAGTCCTATTGGTGTTTGTCATAGTACCAGAGCTTAATGCCAACTCCAAAGTTTAAATGTGTCTTATTACCACTTTCCTACTGGAAGACCGCGAAAAGTGCAGGTGAGGTTCTATCTAGAACATTATCTCCTAATTCCATATCGAAAGTAATTAACACTTGTTTTGTTTTGGTTGATTGGATTAGCTTTACCTAGGGAAATGATCAAAGAAGGTAGTATCTGAGAACCATAATACTTTGTTCAGTTCTGTTTCAGTGAGTTAATCTTAGATATTTTTTTCTTCCCAGGAATGTAATAAACCTCGAGAAGCCTTTGGATTTGAACAGGCTGTACGAGAGTATACACTTCAGAGCTTTGGAGAGATGGCAGATAATTTTAAGTCTGACTATTTCAATATGCCAGTCCATGTGAGTATATTTTGTCAGTTGGTAAGGTATGAAGTCCAAAGCTTTTGGTTTGCTTTCTAGTTATGTTATTTTGTAGAAAACAGGGACAGCATGTAAAAGATGATAGACCACCACATCTAAAAGACTAGGGGCCTGGCATCTGTTTCAGTTTCTTTCACTCACTAATGTGGCAGTGTGCACTCACCTGTTAAGAAAAATACTTTGATCTTCAAATGGTTTACTAGCCCTCTGTGAGTAATCCTTATAGAAAAGCATGAAGTATGTGGTAGTTGCTGCTTTTGTTTAGTTATTTGTAATATAAGCTTTGCTTCTTTTCCTAGGGAATCTTGGGCTTTTAAAAAAATGTTATAATTGATTTTTAGAGAGAGAGGAAGGGAGAGGGATAGAGAGATAGAAACATCAATGCTGCCTCCTTGCATGAGCCCTTCCCTAACCCCCCCCCGGGGATTGAGACTGAAACCCAGGCCTGTACCCTGACTGGGAATTGAACTGTGACCTCTTGGTTCCTGAGTTGATGCTCAACCAACGAGCCACATTGGCCAGGTGGGATCTTGGGCTTTTAAAAATCCCTATAAAAAAAATTTGCCAAAGCTCTTAAAATTAAGCCTTGATTTTTGTGTTTCCTTTTTCTTCTTTGATGGCCTAGGTCTTTAGTCTTCTTAGTTAGGAAGCAGCTTGCAAAAAAAGGCAGTTCGAGTTCACTATGTTTTTCTGGACATTTAAGTTGTCTTTTGTTTTTCCCTATCCTCAGTGGAAAAGATTAGGACCTAGTGTTTTTAGCTCTGGGACAGAATAAGGTTTTCTATTTTATCATGGGTTTGTGTTAAACTTGACCTGTGTATTAATGTTATAGTGGATTCTGGTTATAGCGAGTTAGTAATATATGATCTTTGTTTTCCTTGTGTAGATGGTTCCCACAGAACTAGTAGAAAAGGAATTTTGGCGGCTGGTGAGCAGCATTGAAGAAGATGTTATTGTAGAGTATGGAGCTGATATTTCCTCAAAAGACTTTGGAAGTGGATTTCCTGTAAAGGATGGTCGGAGAAAGATGCTGCCAGAAGAAGAGGTGCATAGCAGATAGTAGTCTAAATTTCTCCTCACCCCTAGCTGATTAGTTCTTTGCATAGTAGAAAACTAGCTTTCTCATTAGTCATAAGGGACCATGTTTGTTTAAAATATTAAATATGTAAGATTTGGACAATATACTCTTCAGTTAAAAAAAATTCAAAGTACCTTTAAATATTAATTAACTTTGCATTTCAAAACCAATTTAAATGCATGGGTTTGGATTTATGGCCAGCCCGTCCCCTGGGTCTCATAGTGCTCATGCCAGAGCAAATCTGTGGCCTTCAACCATGACCTGACCTTTACCCGTAGGCTGCTTCTACACAGTAGAAGAAATAAAAATAAAAACCAATTCAACTACTTTAAAACTTCAACCTCATTTAAATAATTTTACCTTTCTGTTTGAAAATCTAGATGGTGATTTAAGATTTTAAAAAATATATATTTCATAGATAGGTCTGCAATTTAGTTCCCTTCAACACCCGAGGAGATAGGATTTCAAATATGCATTTAAATTATAACATAATAAAGTCCCATCACATAGGAGATGACCTCTATGTAGAAAGCTGAATTAAGATGATCATTTATTTCCTTTTCTCTCTACTTTTGTCCTTGTCACTTTCCCTCTATAATTGGCAATAAGTAGAAGTTTTATCTCCTATTAAAAGAGTTATACAGAGTTGTTTGTTTTTTTTTAAGTTACATCGTGCAGAAGGATTTACAATGAAAAGTGTAGTTACTTCAGCTCTTTCTCTGTGTTTAAAATATATTTTTATTGATTTCATAGAGGAAGGGAGAGGGAGAAAGAGATAGAAATGTCAATGATGAAAGAGAATCATTGATCAGCTGCCTCCTGCATGCGCGCGCGCGCCCCGCACCCCACGGGATCAAGCCCACAACCCGAGCATGTGCCCTGACCGGGAATAGAACCGTGACCTCCTGGTTCATAGGATGAAGCTCAACCACTGAGCCATGACAGGCCACTTCAGCTCTCTTAATACTATTTACATGGTATATCTTTTATTTCTTTTATTTTAAGCCATCTTTCTTGTAGCCAGCATGTGATTGGATCTTGAAATCTAGTCTGACGTGGTCTTTTTATTGTGGAGTGTTTAGTCCATTTTACATTTAATGTAATTATTGACATGGTTTATTTTTTTTATTATTTTTTTCACTTTTTTTAATATATATTTTTTTCTTTATTGATTAAGGTATTACATATGTGTCCTTATTCCCCCACTACCCCCCAAACCTCCCTCGCTCATGCTCTCACCCTCCTAGTGTCTGTGTCCATTGGTTGTGCTTATATGCATGAATATAAGTCCTTTGGATGATCTCTCCCCGTTCCCCCTACCCTCCCCTGCCTTCCCTCTGAGGTTTGATGGTCTGATAGATGCTTCTCTGACTCTGGATCTGTTTTTGTGCATCAGTTTATGTTCATTATATTCCACAAATGAGTGACATCATGTGATATTTATCTTTCTCTGACTGGCTTATTTTGCTCAGCATAATGCTCTCTAGGTCCATCCATGCTATTGCAAATGGTAGGAATTCCTTCCTTTTTACAGCAGCATAGTATTCCATTGTATAGATGTACCACCATTTTTTAATACACTCATCTGCTGATGGGCACTTAGGCTGTTTCCAAATCTTAGCTATTGTAAATTGTGCTGCTATGAACATAGGGGTACATATATCCTTTCTGATTGGTGTTTCTGTTTTCTTGGGATATATTCCTAGAAGTGGGATCACTGGGTCAAATGGGAGTTTCATTTTTAGTTTTTTGAGGAAACTCCATACTGTTCTCCACAGTGGCTGCACCAGTCTGCATTCCCATCAGCAGTACACGAGGGTTTCTTTTTCTCCGCCTCCTCGCCAGCATTTGTCCTTTGTTGATTTGTTGATGATAACCATTATGACAGGTGCAAGATGGTATCTCACAGTTGTTTTGATTTGCATCTCTCAGATGATTAGTGACTCAAGCACGTTTCCATATGTCTCTTGGCCTTCTGTATGTCCTCTTTTGAAAAGTGTCTATTTAGGTCCTTTGCCCATTTTTTGATTGGATTGTTTATCTTCCTTTTGTTAAGTTGTATGAGTTCACTGAAAATGTGTGTATGACATTAAACCCTTATCAGAGATAACATTGGCAAATATGTTCTCCCATGCAGTGGGCTTTCTTGTTTTGGACATGGTTTATTTATGGTCTGCCATCTTGCTTCTTTCTATGTCTGCTGTCTTTTTGTTCCTGTTTCTCCTTTATGATTTTTGTGTGTGTGTGTTGAGCAGATATTTTTCATAATACCATTTTAATTCCTTTGGGGTTTTTTTTTGGCTATATATTTTGAGTTACTGATTCTAAGAATTACAACATGTAGCTTTTTTTTTCCTTTTTAAGCTTTGACACTGTACATCTTTAACTTATCACAACCTACTTCATGTTCATATTGACTTAATTCTGATAAATATAGCAACTTTGAAACAGTGTCTCTTCATTTCCTGCTCTCTTTTGTGTGTTGTATATTGTATGTTCATAGTGTATAAACACAACACAGCAATATAATTATTGCTTTAAACAACCTTTTTTTTTAAAGTAAGAGAAGAAATACACTTCTTTACATATCTACTGAGATATTTACTATTTCTGGTTCTCTTCATTCATTTTTTTAAAAAGACTTTTTTATTGATTTTTTTAGAGAGAGAGAGAGAGAGAGAGAGAGCATTCATTTTTTTAAAAAGACTTTTTATTGAATTTTTTAGAGAGAGAGAGAGAAACATCAATCAGATGCCTCTTGCACATCCCCCTGTTGAGGAGTGAGCCCGCAACTTAAGCATGTGTCCAGACCAGGAATCAAACCAGCAACTTTTCTGTGCATGGGACGATGCCCAACCAACTGAGCCACACCAGCCAGGACTCTTCATTCTTGTAGATCAAAGTTACTATTTGGAGTCATTTGCTTCTGGCCTGGAGGACTACATTTATTTATAGTGCAGGTCTGCTAGTAATGAATTCTTGTAGTCTTTGCTTATCTGGGAATGTCTTTATTGAGTCTTCTTTTGTTTTTCAAGAGCAAATGCTTTTCAATTTGTTTTTGCCTTTGGTCAGTTTCTAGTGCTTTGAAATGGTTATTTTGATAATTTTCTCCAAATTTATCCTTATTTTCTGTGAAGAGGAATTGGGCCAACCTCTTCTGAAAGTCTTTTACAATTAAAAAGTTTCCCTCCCACCCAAATTTACAATTTTACAGAGGAAGATTCTATTTCATCTTCTAGTATATCCTTCCAGATATAGTATATCTATACAAGCAGTTATATATCATGCATACATAATTACACATTCCTTTAAAACAGAACTGGGAGTATACTACTTACAAGATTCTGTACCTGGTAAGAATTCTGTTTTTGTGTTGAAGGTTAGAATAAGAGAACCCATTTATCACAAAAGGATTGTAAGGACTTATTAGAAAAATGTGTATAAAATCTTCAAATTTTTTATACTTATACTTTATGTCAGTTTGTTACTCTCCTTTGAAAGTGACTCTACTAGAATAATAGATAACTACTAGTATTTCACCAGGAATTGTACATTTGTGTTAAACTTCTGTATGAGTTAGCCTTTTGATATCTAATAGCATGCGTCCCTGGTGTCATAGCTTAGTGGAAAAATACTTTTGAAGTTAATACATTTGTCTTATGAATACAGTGTGTTCTATAAACATGGCTTCTGAGGAATAAAGATAGCATAGAACTTAAAACCTTGGGAATATTGTTTTCTTCTTATCCTCATTCCATGTTAAATCATTGAATCCTGTTAATTCATTTTTCATTATTTTTTATAGGATTGGCCTCTTTTCATTCCCACTACCATCCTTGTCTCGGTCATATCACATCATGTTGGGATGTTTGCCATGGTCTTACATAATGACCACTCGTGTTGGGGGTTCCCAAGACCATCTCCAGGTTCAGTGATTTTCTAGGAAGACTCATGGCTATGATTTTTTATAGTGAAAGGGTTACAAAGTATAATCAGCAAAGGGAAAAGATGTGTGGTCAAAGTCCAGAGAAAACCCAGGTATAAGCTTTCAAGAGTCCTCTCTTAATGGAGTCATTCACTTATGCACTTAGTTACTTCAGTATCAGATTGACAAGGAGTGAAGTATTGCCTACCAGGAAGCTCATTAGAGAGTCAGTGCTTAAGGTTTTTATTGGGGGCTGCGAACTAGGCACCTCTGCCTAACACATCCCCAAATTCCAGAATCCTGGAAGGAAAGCAAGTGTGTATAAGCCACGTTGTACTGTCTAGGCTCTGTGAGTCACTCAATCAGTGTAGGGCAGTGATCGGCAAACTGCGGCTCGCCCGCCACA